CCCCCGAGCCCCCCCCTCCAGCTTTATTTGTTTTCAAACAGTCCCCCTGACGCCTGCGCACGTGTTGAACAGAAACAACAACAACATCAACAACAACAAATCCAACAACAACAACAACGACAACGACAACAACAACAGCGACAACAACAAATCCAACAACAACAACGACGACGACGACGACGACGCGCTGCACCCTCCCCCCGGGCCCCCCTCAAAGCTTTCTTTGTTTTCAACCAGTCCCCCTGACGCCTGCGCGCGTGTTGAACAACAACAACAACAGCAAGAACAACAAGAAATCCAACAACAAATCCAACAACAACAACAACACCAGCAGCAGCAGCAGCAACAACAAATCCAACAACAACAACAACAGCAGCAACAACAACAACAACAAGAAGCGAAGCAAGTACCTTTGCTTGACTTTGGGGGGAGGCGCTGCGCCCTCCCCCCGAGCCCCCCTCCAGCTTTCTTTGTTTTCAAACAGTCCGCACGAGTTCGTCAAGCGGAGTGACTTGCCTTGTCTCACCTAGATTTGTCATCTTGTGCTGAACGACACCTCACAACACACCCAACAACAACAGCAGCAGCAGCAGCAACAACAACAAATGCAACAACAACAAGCGAAGCAAGAACCTTTGCTTGACTTCGGGGGGGGGCGCTGCGCCCTCCCCCCGAGCCCTCCTCCGGCTTTCTTTGTTTTCAAACAGTCCCCCTGACGCCTGCACACGTGTTGAACAGCAACAACAACAACAGCAACAAAAACATCAACAACATCAACAGCAACAACAAATCCAACGACAACAACAACAACAACACCAGCAGCGCGCTGTGCCCCCCCCGAGCCCCCCAACAACAACAACAACAACGACAACAACGACAACGACAACGACAACGACCGCAACCACAACCACAACCACAACCACAACAACCACAACAACCACAACAACCACAACAACCACAACAACCACAACGACAACGAGAACGAAAACGACAACCCCCCCTCCAGCTCTCAAAAAGTAAGGGCCGGGTGTCCAACAGAGGTTGGAGGTTAAAAAGAAAGGTCGGGGGTTTAGAAAAGCAAGGTTGGGGGGTTAAAAAAGAGAGGTTGGGGGGTTAAAAAGAGAGGTTGGGGGCTAGAAAAAAGAGGTTGGGGGTTAAAAAGAAGGGTCGGGGGGTTGAAAAAAAGGGTGGAGGTTAAAAAGAGGTTGGGGGGTTAAAAAAAAGGGTTCCCAAAGGATGTTCTGCCAGGTTTGGGGACACCGGAGACCCCATCCATCCTACAACTTGGAACCTAGACCCTAGACCCTCCAAGGAGTGGTACCTACAGTGCCCCCCCTTGCCTCTCCATTTTGGTCGGTCTGAATAATTCCAATGGTTCGTCCAACCTACAGGAGCACTACCAGATTCATGGTTGCACATGGCGGATGCCCAAAAGCCTCAGAGGAACCCCATGCGGGTTGGACGTCCAGGTCGTGACCCTCCGTTGAAAAGCCGAAGCGGACGGCCAGGTGATCCTGAATGCTCACCTGCGCTGTGCCTTGGCATCAAAGAAGATCCTTCAGAAGGCGGGGATCCCTAGCTCAAGTGCTATGTCTTTCTGTGAAGCTGGATGAAGCTGGCGTGAAAGATCGTGAAAGAGACAAGAGTGGATGCCGCTAGATGAAGCTAGTCATAAGTCAAGTGATTTTGGAACACTTTCACGAGAGGGATTCAGAGGTGGTTCTGCAAAGGCTATAGGCTTCAAGAAGAATCACACCCAAACTTCCTCCAGTTGTCAGATCACTGTAGTGAATGGGATCAACAGCTTAGGCAGCTAGAGTAGAGCATGCCCCAATTGAAGGGTAGAAAGGCTTCTTATAAGAGTGATATATACTCCCTTGACTTTGCCACAATGGCTACGCATGACATGAGCTATGTCACATGTGCGGGGAACCGTTTATAGCATTTTTTGGCCCAATCCCCCGATTTGATTTAAGCATGTGTTGCATGACTGATGCTCCGTGGCCTTCAGGAGCAGCTGTCTAAGCAGTCTTTTGACTGGCTCCTGGGCGAAGTGAAGCAGAAGTTCATGCCGCTCGCCTCAGCGATACGGGTCACAGCGGCGTCCATTCAGCGGCCAAGGGCCCTTTTATAGATCCTTTTAACTATTGGTCATATTGGTTGGTTGATTCATAGAGGAAATCAATTGGTTGATTCACAGAAGATCGTAACCCCTAAGTGAACAAACATAATAATAGGCCCAGGTAGTGGCGTAGGTATATGTGTATAATATATACTGTATATATTATAATATTAATTAGTACAGAAACGACTCCTCATGACCCCGCAATTATCTGTTCTCAAAGTCGACACCTGGATGGTGTCCACTCGTTTTGGGCGGCCAAGGAAATCCCTGGCACACCCAGGCCATGGCGCATGGGCTGATGGGTGGGCTCGGGTTGCTCCGGGGGGTTGCCCCAGGTTCCAAAAACCGATCGGTGCCCTGTTCTTTCAACCAAGGACTATAGGCCAGGACCTTCAAAGTGACCCTTTGATATCCCAGGATGAGGTCACTTAGGTCTGTACCAGGTCACTTAGAGACTCCAAAGAGGTCACTTTGAGGGAGTGCTGGAGCTTGTGTTTGTAGCATGGATACGAACTCCCGCCGTGGGGTCGCACCAATGGCTCGCACCAAGTTGTGACGCCCGTGCACAGAACAGGACTCCCCTTCCACAAGGCTTCCATGGGTGGCTTGTCATGCAGATGGAAGGACGGCAAGCCGCGGTCGGAACCCATCCATGATCGACCCGTGGCTTTCTCATGCCGATGGCAGCCATGTGGGAGAGCATCCAAGAAAAAGGATACTAGACGACGAGTGGCCCGAAAGCATTTTTCATCACGTAGGAAGTCAGAGTGCGAGTTATCTGTTAAGTGTGTTATAAGTGTTCAGTGTGAAGTGTTAAGTCGAGTGTGTTGAGGCAGTGTGTGGGTCTCTGTGTGTGTGTGTGTATCTATGTCTGTGTGTGTATGTGTCTCTCTCTGTATGTCTTTCTGAAGCGCAGGAACACCTGTTTTCTGCAAGTTCTTCACCTCTCGAAAGTCACCTCCGCGTAGTAAAGTTGTACTACAAAGTCGCCAGTTCTCATCTTCCAGCTCCACAGATTGCTCCGTGGACTAAAGTTCTACTACCAAGTCGCCAGTTCTCATCTTCCAGCTCCCCAGATACTCCGCGTACTCAAGTTGTACTACCAAGTCGCCAGTTCTCATCTTCCAGCTCCCCGGATACTCCGCGTACTAATGTTGTACTACCAAGTCACCAGTTCTCATCTTCCCACTCCCCAGATACTCCGCGTACTAAAGTTGTACTACCAAGTCGCCAGTTCTCATCTTCCAGCTCCCCAGCTACTCCGCGTACTACAGTTGTACTACAAAGTCGCCAGTGCTCATCTTCCAGCTCCCGAGATACTCCGCGTACTCAAGTTGTACTACCAAGTCGCCAGTTCTCATCTTCCCACCGCCCAGCTACTCCGCGTACTAAAGTTGTACTACCAAGTCGCCAGTTCTCATCTTCCAGCTCCCCAGCTACTCCGCGTACTAAAGTTGTACTACAAAGTCGCCAGTTCTCAGTTCTCAGCTTCCAGCTCCACAGATTGCTCCGCGTACTAAAGTTGCACTACCAAGTCACCCGTTCTCAGCTTCCAGCTCCACAGCTACTCCGCGTACTAAAGTTGTACGACAAAGTCGCCAGTTCTCAGCTTCCAGCTCCACAGATTGCTCCGCGTACTAAAGTTGTACTAGAAAGTCGCCAGTTCTCAGCTTCCAGCTCCCCAGATACTCCGCGTACTCAAGTTGTAGTACCAAGTCGCCAGTTCTCATCTTCCAGCTCCCCGGATACTCCGCGTACTAAAGTTGTACTACAAAGTCGCCAGCTCTCAGCTCCCAGCTCCACAGATTTCTCCGCGTACTAAAGTTGTACTAGAAAGTCGCCAGTTCTCAGCTTCCAGCTCCCCAGCTACTCCGCGTACTAAAGTTGTACTACAAAGTCGCCAGTGCTCATCTTTCAGCTCTCCAGATACTCTGCGTACTAAAGTTGTACTACAAAGTCGCCAGTTCTCAGCTCCCAGCTCCACAGATTGCTCCGCGTACTAAAGTTGTACTAGAAAGTCGCCAGTTCTCAGCTTCCAGCTCCCCAGCTACTCTGCGCACTAAAGTTGTACTACAAAGTCGCCAGTTCTCAGCTTCCAGCTCCACAGATTGCTTTCGCGCGCTCGACACGCACGATCTCCGCAGAGGGTTGCGCGCACAGCCGGCAAATCGCACTCTCGCCTGCATTTCGCGCACTCGACACGCACGATCTCCGCAGAGGGTCGCGCGCGGACCGGACGAATCGCACTCTCGCCTGCATTTCGCGCACTCGACACGCACGATCTCCGCAGAGGGTTGCGCGGGCACCCGGCAACTCGCACTCTCGCCTGCATTTCGCGCACTCGACACGCACGATCTCCGCAGAGGGTTGCGCGCACACCGGACAAATCGCACTCTCACCTGCATTTCGCGCACTCGACACGCCCGATCTCCGCAGAGGGTTGCGCGCGCACCGGACAAATCGCACTCTCACCTGCATTTCGCGCACTCGACACGCACGATCTCCGCAGAGGGTTGCACTTTCGGTTGACGCTGTTCGTCCCGCACTCCGCCTTTAAGAGAGAATTTATAAAGTGGGGAAATGTTTTTTCATTAGGACATCTCCCGTGCTAGTTTTCCACACTCACACTTGCCTACTCATTGCATGCTTGCATAGTCATTGCGTGCTTGCATACTCACCCTTGCATATCATGCTTGCATACTTACACTTGCATACTTTGACACTGGCATACTTCGCACTTGGATGCTTTCGCTCTTCCAGTGTGTGTGTGTGTGTAAGTGTGAGTGTCGAAGTGTAAATGTTCAAAGGATTTTCCGGAAGAACCCTTCGCAATGCTTTCGGGAATAATTACTGTAAAAAACCGGGTGTCTTTGTTCCTCGTGTGACACGAAGGGTCTTCCAGCCAAAGATGGCACCCCGTAGAGGAAGACTTGTGAAGAGGAAGACGTGTGAAGCATACCGGATAGGCATACCGAGGACTTTTTCCCCTGCATTTTTTTCCAGACCTATTGATGTTTCTTTTCCCCCGCATACCGAGGCCTCGAGGTCCGTATTTTTCACGCCATTCCCGGTCCTCTCGCTCTCGGTAGGGGCCAGACGTTCACATGACATGGTGCAATATATCATACCCATATCTCTAGTGAACCATAGTGAACCTAAATTCAAAGCAAGTCGCTTTGTAACACCTTTTCGCAGCCGCTATCATCAGCTGCTGGCTAAGAATGATGAAACAAACTGCTGTCAACTTCATACCTGCACTAAGGGCGCTCAAAGACTAGACACGGGCCAAGGATTCTTTGGGTGTCCTTTCCCTAGCCTCTCTAGCCCATGTTGATCTATTTCAAGATATTTGAAACTCTAAAATCCGCCAAACCGTTCACACCAAATGCCCTTCTTAAATCCACTGGACTTTCCGTCGAAACTCCTCCGTCCGGGCCGTTCGGGCTGTTCGGGCTGGCTTCTTCGTCTCGCAAGGCGAGGTTATCGGCACCTTGGCGGCGCAGAGCAGGGGAGCCCCAGTCGGAAGGGATGTTGGAGCTCCAGAACTCCAGGACCATCCAGTCGGGGTGCGCTGTGTGGGGTGCGCTGTCTGGACCGTCCTGCCGTACACCCCGATGGTCGGAGGGTCCTGGTATGGGGATGATCAATAGGAAGACACGACCAGCACCACCCAGTTCGGGTGGTTTATAGACCCCCGTGAAGTACTGTAACCACCCGAACTGGGTGGTGCTGGAGGAAGACATTAGATTAGATGTTTTTATATTGCTTTATGCTGTTTTTGTTGGAATTATTTCTAAGTCATGAGAGTGAAATCATTGGAACAGGGCTGTTGTAACTGAAGGTCTCGCTTGGCCGCTCGTCGAGTCTACTACACCCACGGTGGGGTGAGAAGCGGTCCATCCAAGATAATACATTGAAGGTTCTGGGCAAAGGGATCCTTTGATTCTCTTTTGCTGATATTTGATTTTATTTGATATCATGTCTGACAAACAGAAACGACAAACATGAATAAAAGCAACACAAAATAGACTAATTAATCTAACCTGTTTCATATTGATTGGGGAGCTCCAGTGGGAGCTCCAATGTTGACACACTCCCATAGTGAATAGCAGCTGAGAAGGCAATCCCACCGCCTCAGCACTCTACGAACAGCCGAACGCCGGGCTCCGCTCCGGCGCAATCCCCAGCAGAACCGTTCGGGTGAGGAACCCTCTACCTGTTGGACAAAACACAGTGCCTTCGATTCGCCGTGGCCATTGGCATTTGGTGTTTTCAAATGGGTTTGCGCCGGTGTTGAACCCGTTGTTTAAGCACTCTACTTGAGGCGCTCGAGCTCACTTCAAGGTCGCCTGCCACAGTGGTGCCAGAGTAACTCGTAGTGACCCAAAGAGTCGCCGGTAGCCCGTAGGTGTCAACCCTTGAAGGATGATGTGTTCTTTTTTTCCAGAACATCTATAGCACTTTTCCCCATGTCCCATGATGGGTTCTTGCCCCATTTCCCTTCAGTTGGAACATGAAGGAGCTAACAGCTCGGACCCCATTTCCCGGTCGCCCCCTTCCCCGGAACCTCCGACCACCCATGGTCGCCCCGACCACCCATCAGGTGTCGGCGAGCCGGCCACGCAGATGACGCTGGCGGGGTGGAGGGCCGGAGGTGAAGCAGCCGGCCCCTAGTAGCGTCCTTGCTCCTAGTAGCGATGCCAGGAGCCCTTAGTAGCGTCCTTGCTCCTATAGTAGTAAGAGCCCCTAGCAGCTTCTTGTTGCTAGTAGCTGTCCAGGGCTGCCGAGATGATCACAGATGTTCGCTGGAATGTTCGCTGGACGTCTTGTGAGGATCGGTGAGGTGGTTTGATGGAGTTCGTTGTTGACCATTAAACGGCCTTCAACGCTTAGGATGTTCACTTCAGCCATCAGAGTTATAATATGGGTCAGTTCACTCTTGACCCTCCAAGCAAGCCTTTGTGACGCCCCCCTTCCCCCCGAGAATGGGGGGGCGTTTCGCCCACACCCACGGGCCTTTGGTGCATCACCTTCCACTTCGTCGCTTCGCTGGCAGAACACCTTCCACTTCGCCGGGGTGGGTGCCAAGAACGTCACCCTGGGCGTGCCGCGCCTCAAGGCCAGGGCGGTGAACAGCGCAGGGAAACCCGGGCGCAGGGCTGATGAGGTGAGTGACCCAACATGTGGGGTGACCGACCCAACAGATGCCCCGGAAGATGTCTCCATTCTGAACCAACCAGGCAAATCACAGATTTGGTCCAATCCTCACATTGTAGTGATTCGATGCATGTTCAAAAATGTTTAGATATCTTTAAGGCACAGGGATTGTGAGTGATTCGCAGTAGGTCAGTACGCACAGTGGGGAATTACCAGTGTTTGTGGCTGGTGAGTGCTGCCGGGTGTGAGCTTGTAGTTGCCTGATGTTTCCTGAAGGGAGGAAGGTGCATAGGCCATGAATCTTTGAGAGATGTATCGACTGACCTCATGCTCCCACCCTCATGACCGAAAGCACAAATACATACTACTCAATATATTGGAGGTACCCTCGTTTACTGGGAGCCACCGCTCGAAAACAGTCTACAAACCTGTATCTATAGACATTTTTCATGCACATGGTTGTACCATGTTGTACCTGTTTTGCGCTCACCAAAACTTCCGTCTTCGGAAGATCTGCAACCCGGACGCTTCGAAAGGTTGCTTTCCGCTTCGACGTGGCGCGGCGGTGAGGAGCTCATCAACGTTGCGAAGAAGGTGAAGACACCTTCGCTGGTCAGAGGAGCCCAGCCAGACCTTGCTGGGAGGGTCTCGGGAGGCCATCGAGATGGTGGCAGCAACCCAACACACACCCCTACCGCCTACCTATGGCAAGAGGATCATGCCCTGCGTTTCGAGCATCCATATGGCTGGGTGATGGTCGAACCTATGGGGCGCCCCAATAGGCTCACCAGAGAGGTTTCCCAATTGGGCTAAGACCATTATGGTTTTTGGCCGGGAACTGTGCCAAAACCGGGTGTGCCACATCAGACAAGGCCAGCAAACTTGATGTCGTGAAGTTCTGGATTGATTAGCCTCTAAGTGTTTCATCAGGATATGAATTCTGAGCTTGGCTCGTTGCTTGCCTATGCTTGCCTACTTGAGTTCTCTTTGTGAAAGAGGTCGATCCTGTATAGACAGAGAAGGCTGGAACTCCTTAGATTTGCGCCCGTGACCTGTCGCCAAGTGAGATCTGGGAGCGCTACCGTAAGCTTGCTGAAGGAGCCTTGCTCCAGAGGAAACTTTGTTGCAAAACTGCAGTGTTTTTTGTTCTGTCCGCCTAGTCCGTTTTTCTGTGTTTAAGCTTAAATAACCGTCCGGAAGGCTCACAATGTTTCAAAATCATTCAGTGCTGCGGTGCATAGCGGCTAATAGACGCTTGTGATGGACTTTTGGTGTCGGTCATCATTAGTTTTGCCTGCAGTGCATTTTAGCTCACTATGGCAATGTCCTACTTTCCATCGACAGGTCACCACCGAGACATTGTCCGTTTCGGAGTTCCGAGGCCGTCTTCTTAAGCGGCGACCTGGGCCAAGACCAGGCGCGCGCCAAGGACCCGCAGACGAAGACAACCTTGAAAGGTGATGGAAGACAGGCAGACGAAAACACAGAAAGAGTGAGGAACAAAACATGACAACCAGGACCATCCAATGGGTGTCCAATAGACTACCCTACCCTACTTACAGGCCTCCATTGGGCACCGATTCGAAGTGCTAGGAAGGTAATGGTGTATGTTTTTTTTGGATAGGTTTGCGCCCGGAGAGTGCTTGGTTTTTTTATGTTCATTACTATAGCTTCTATTATATAATATATTATCCCAAGACTTAAGGCTTCGCCTTTAATCGAACAACCAATGTACCCACCAAGAATTGCGCACTTGACCCAAACCAAGTCACTGCGTGTATGCAGGCAGATTTGAGAAGGCACGATTGCCCTTGCTTCCCAGTTTCACAGTTTTTGTATCTCCAGCTACTTATTAAGTAAAACATTGGATATTGCCAAGTAAGCCAACCATTTGTAAAGTCAGTATGGAAGAGGAACATTGTTTCACTGACTTGACATCCAAGTTATACTTGCTACAAATGCAAGTGCAACCACATTTCTAAGATTCATCCACCACCTTTTCTCAAAACCATGCAGAACATTGCAGACATATATATATATATACATACATATTTGTGACCACTTACTTGGAAGATTTGGAAACGTCTTTCGCTGGCAAACTGTTGCCAATGTGTGCCAAGGCCTCCCCTGATCGACCAGGGTCGCTGCACTGGGTCGCTCTCGGTGAGAAAAATACCCTCCTTCGGGAGCACGAGCCACTAAAAACGTCACAACACGAGCCACTGCCAGTGCACGACAGAGCCGTGTGTACGTGTGCAGACGTGTGGTTTGTGGTTTGGACGTGTAGGATGTGCAGAGCATGTTGGAGCACACCACCTTGGAGAAGGTCACCTCCTTTACCCAGGCAGCGCAGTTCCGGACTCTGTCGGACTCCGAGGGACTCGTTGAAACAGGTTGACACCGATGCTTTCCTATCAGCTTGTTACGGTGGGCAGGGAACACCCAGCAGCAAGAGGTCTTTCTGGGAAAAGGAGCGGCCGGATGGCAGGCGAGTGAGGTGGCTGGTAATGGTTTGAACGTTGCTTAGCAGGGAATGAGGGAATGACCCCTTAACTTACTTTAGATACCTTATAAATCTGTCATTCCTTACTTGGCAAATGTCAGTACTAGCTCTTTTGGGGTGAGGATTTGGGGTGACTTTGGGGAGACAAACCACAGTTGTCGTATAGGTTGAAGATGTTTTTTGTGTGTGTTTTTGTATGGTCTTCAGTCTGTGACGGATTAGTTACTTTAATAAGAGGTTTTATTGATAAAAAGGTCGTTTGAGGTGGGCATGCTGGTCCGATGCCACATGTCATGGAGTCGTCCGTGAATGTTCTTTTCATACTCTTGGACATTTTGCAGCTGCCCAAGTTGGTAGGCTTGTCCAATTGACTACAAAAGAACATGAGTGAGAAGGCACCCCCTCTCACATAGGTTTCAGCCTCCCTCGCTCCAAACCATGAGTTGTGGCCTATGAATTCATGGGACCCAGATCTTCATCTCGCACAGATCTTCTGGGACCCGGACCCAGAGCACACGCTGGTGGAGGAAGACAAGGAGTGGGTCAGCCTGTGCGCCCGGAGTGGGTCAGCCTTCAGGAAGATTCCTCTGGTGAACAGCTGTTTTTTCAGCCGCATGTTCAACACACAAATCACTATCACCTGTAAAATCCTTGAAAGTGTTTTCTCATCGTGCGCGGCCACCCCCGGGCCCCATGCCCGGGCATGGTCCGTCCAGATCTGTAGAAGAAGCACCACACTTTTTTGCTTTGAACAAGTCAATCTCTTCGGCCCACCAATTAAAGAACAAGCAAGCCTCCCAGACTGAAAAACTCTGGTGACTTAATTACTATTATGAGTCTTTTGTTACAAGGATTTTGAGGGGAATCCATGAGGCGCCCCAACGGGAACTCCTGGGAATTTGAGCCAAAATCAGGTGATCAATTTTACTAGATGACAAATTCAAAGTACTATGAGGGAAACGATGAACAGGTCTTTGGAAAGAGAGCCAAACTCGTTGAACGAGAATGGAAGTACACATGCTTGCTGCGATAGGGTCAGGCGAGGTGGCGGGCATGGCAGGTCAGGCAAACAGCTGCACCCAGGTGGCGATGTCATCAGAGCTGCGAAGGCTTCGACTGCTGCCAGACAGACTTGTTAGTTGCCACAAACAGCCAGCCAGGCACAAACACGAGAGGCAGCCAGGGGTTGGGGAGGGGTGGGCATCTAGTCAACAAAAAGACACTTATGCCGCCCCAAAACTACGATCTTAGGAAGCAAGAAAGTCCCGGATACGCTCGATGGCAAGTAGTAATGCCCTTGTTTCTAGGAGCGAAATGCCAGGAGTTAGCAAATTCGTAGCGTCCGACCGCGCTGTTCGTATCAGCTCCTAAGCTGTGCAGCCTCCAAAGGCCGCTTGAAGCTGCACCGTGCCGTGATGTGTTGCTCCTCGCTGAACAGTCTAGGTACCGTTCGTTTTTGGTGCCTGAGCCGAGGTCGCGGGGAAAATACCGGTTGTATTTGCCCAGCCAAAAGCAGGAATTTGGCAGCCGGTACACTCTAATTTCTTGCAGTTCTAGGGGCAAAAGGTGAAATAACTGCAACTCCAACTTGTTCACGGTTGCTCTTCCACCACCTGTAGCTATGGCAACTTTGTTGTAAAGCCTCGTTCAGAAGAGACGACCAATAAGACTCATACAGAAGCCGCTCTGACATCTCCTTCAAGCATCAGACAGAGCCATGAGGGCCATGAGCCCACTGCTTCAAGGCCTATAATGCCCAAAGTGGAAGCTCATCCACCCATTTGTCCAGCAAAACTTGGATCAACACTCTTCAAACTCAGTGGGCGAGCCATACACGTCCTGGAAGCCAGGAGAGCGCACCAAACACGCCTTCTCTTTCGCACACTGGAGCGGTACTTGTTGTAACCATCGAGTTCAATCTGTAAGCCCTGCCAGCCCTGCCCAACAGCGGTTTACTCCAGTGGTATGTGTTCTGTTTTATCATGCATCCTCCTAAAGGCGCTGAGCATTCGCCGAAGGGGGCCTCACCAGCAATGCGCACCAGCAAGGCAGGCAACGTCGACTGCATGCTACATGGCTTCAACACCGCACTGCATGCTACATGGCCCAGCAGGAGGGAGTTTCTGGCAAAAGTTCCATGTATGTCTCCCCTTCAATCGGCACAATACGGGCTCCTTGAAGGCACGGATGACACTTATAGAGAAGGAAAGCATTCTCCAGCATAAGGATATAAGGTGACGCAAAGGTCGGCATCCATGGCGCAGGGCTGGCGCGGGGCTGTCGGGTGCCGCAGCGGCTGCCTTTCCCCAGTGCGTCAAGGGCGGCCACTGGGCCACTTTTGCACCTCCTTTGAGCCCTGTTGACCTGCCAAACCAAAGTGACCAACACTGAGGCCCTTATTTGACCTGTGAGCCTATATGACTTCCCACACGGATCACTTGGCCTGGCGGCCTGGCTCCAGGTACTACGAACTCCCGGATGAGGACGAAAACCCCGAGCGCTGTGGGCCCTGGATCCTCGGCCCAACCGGTAGGGTCGGGCACCGACGCACCGTCGATGGGTTGAAGAGGTGGCCGGGCCCCTCCGTTGGGATCTGAAGGGACGTGTCGTCCTTCAGATCAGAGGCTGATGCGAACAGGTCCTACCGCCTTAGCATGTCCTAGCACTTCCTGTTTGGGTGCCCTGTTTGGAGGCCTTACTGTAACAATTAAGTAGGGTAGGGTAGTCTATTGGACACACATTGGATGATCCTGGTATAGCTACAAAAGGTGACTTTCCTCCACAATGTATTAGATATATATAGTACTTTCTTGCAGACCCATGCAGGACTGCTCAGATGTATGAACCAACACTGACTGAGGATCAAACGGCCTTATTATGTCTCTTTGGGTGTGTTTGAGGATCTAAGCTCTTGGACCAAGGACATGGTGCTCTTTTCTGTGGTCAGGCATTGGTTGTCCTACTCCATATGAAGAGGGCCGGCAACAAGTCAATTCCTATATATTCTAGCACTTTCCAACAAGAGTGTGTTAGCGGGACCCTTTGTCGAGACACTACCACCCAGCTTGGCTTGGGTATCACAAAAAGGATCTGCAGTACTTTTGGTTTCAATGGTACAAGTGAGCCACAAGAACATTCGACGTCTACCGTTTCTTTGGCCACTGGTTTGCAAGCTGCCCAGCTACCCCTTTTTTGAGTTTGCTAAAGCTACCCAGCTACCCAGCTACTGACTGGTTTGCTATATAATTCTTTGAGCCTCCCAAACATCCAACAAATTCCACCTCCACCGGGCCATGTCGCAATATTTCCTAGGCTCTTGCGGATCCAGTTGAGCAACAAGGCGGTCGACAGCGGTGTTCACGGCGATTTTCTCGTGGAGTTCCAAAGATAGCATGAAAAAAGAGGAGAAGAATCCATCGTGGGGAATGCTATCTTAATGCGGAACCATATAGTTCTTAAGTGGTCTTAATTCATGCTTAATGGATGGGATTGCAACACCAAACGGTTTGAGGCGGCAGCAAAACAGCGACGAAACCTAAGAGATCACCAGGTCATTATAGTGATAGTATGTGGTCACCTAGCCAAATTAAGAAATTCAGAAGATGACATCATTACTGTTAGACAAACCATGACAGGGTGGTCTTTCTTTCATGACCCATACCATAGCGACATCATGAACATGACAGTCATGGTAGATCCACCTAAGCCGCATCCAGGTTGAAGCCCTCATTCTTCGTGCCAGGTTATGACCGATAAGAAGCTCACCGTCCGAGAGGCCGACCATTCGACAGAATTGTCATGAATTGTTTGTGGTGCGAGGTCAGGGTTTCACTCAGCTTGCCAACATCCGCTAGACATATGATGAAGCGATCCGTATGCATTGGTTGAAGAGTTTAAAAGGGCGACGGCGATGACAATGATACCCAAGATGTACCAAATAGTGTATCAAAACAACATACTCATGCAGAGGAGGTCATGTCGAGATGTTCTTTATCCCTGCTGCAGCAGCTGGCAGATAGCGCTTGCACGGCCTACAGAGATCTCCTCTAGGTTTTTATGTGGCTGTGGGTAGTAGTTCGTGATTGTTCGTGTGCGATGGATAAGCGCCGGTCGACAAGGAGCACTGCTTATATATGCACATTGAAGTTTGTACAAATGACTTCACATCGAGAGTACATTGAACCACCTCGATCACGTGTAGCACCCACGTGTTCCCCGCCTCCATCAGAACGTTAAAAAAACATGCTCAAAGCCAAAAAAGAAAGAGAACATCCCCCAGGGTGGATGGGATTTGGTCGAAACCGCCCCTGAAACCGATCGCCCGAGTCCCCTGCGGTGTTGTGCCGGGTCCGGTCCGGCCATCGCTGACCGGGACCTCGCCAGGTGGGTGAGAGGATCCTGCGAGACTTCATGAATGACCTGGATTGCCGGGAGCGCGGAAAGGGCGGAAAGGTCGAACGAGAAGCCGGCAGTGGGGAACAGTTTGGAAGCCACGAAAGGCACTATAAAGTACTAATTGTACTACTAAGTACTACTAAATTACTACTATAAATACTAGACTAAATAAGAAAAGACTTTAAGGAACCTAATAGCGGCCTCCAACCTACTAGCGATGGCCTATCATTGTAAAATAGAAGGCACAGATCATGAGTGGGAATAGTTGTCTTTAATCTCAGCAGGATTTCTTTCTCCATCAGTAGGACATGGATGGGGCGGTATTCTTTGCCAGTGAGGGAGTCCACTATATGGACGTGGTGTTTCTGGACTGGATTCCGCCTCTGTCCCTACTCGCCATGGATTCCATGGCTTTCTGACCACAAAGAGGAAGACCGACCCAGAATGGTCGACGCACCACCATCCGGAACGGATGATGATGTGGTTTTGGTTTCCTTTGGCACAGTAGAGAGATATATTATGAGTTGAAGTCGCGGTTCGGCCTGGTCCCCAAGAAATCTCACGAAAAGAAAAGAAGCGTGAATCCTCAGCTTGGTGAAGGTTTGGTTTAGGTCGCATCATTGAATTAGATTTTAAACTTGTCCAGCCCCACGTTGTCCAACCACGTGAGCAGCTTGGCCGCAGTCGGGCGACCGAGAAAGGGACGTCTGACGTGACCGCTCGCTCGCTCGGACACACCGACGGACACCTGCTGATGCGAACGGCGGGCGACCACGGTTGACGAGTGAGGCATCTTCACGGACGACAACGCAGAGGAGTTGGTCTTGCGCATCCGCTTGCTCAAGGCCGTGATTTAGCTCGCGTCTTCGCCAAGTGAGGCCAAAAGGAAATTGGGGCGACCGCTCCAAAAAACGACGTGGTTGGTTGGTTTGACTGAAAGCAGGGGTCAGAGATGGTCAGATAGTTTTAACATGTTTTAAAGCTGTATGTGGACAGCTGCTGAATGTTTGAAAGAAGAATGTTTTGTTCCATAAAAGTAAAGAACTTGGAGAGCACATATCATACTGCAAATTGTGGTGTTTCGGGCTGTAGGATCTATAACAGGGAGGGGTTCGACAGAAAGGATCTTGTTCCTTTTTTGCGGAATGCGGATCTCCTCTCCGTGGTATTCCTCTTCATCATCTTCACAAAACCCTGAAGTGGTGGAATAGCAAAGAGAATGGTGTTCGAATGCCAAGACCAGTTGCATGCCTCAAGTGTTTGAATACAAGGCATGCCTCGTTGCATGTAATCACCGGTCCATCGACCCGGTCCGAAGGCCGACCCCCGGTCGTCGCCAGGAAGCCGACCAAGTGGGTGCGGTGGGGGCCCAGGTCCGGAAACGCGGTGAGGATGAAGGTGTTTGAGCGGTTTGAGGATGAATTTTGTGCTTCTTTTTTAGAGCTTTGAGACCATCATTTTGCTGTGTTTTGTGTTGTTCTCCTGATTTGGGTGATGTTTGTTTTGCCCACGGTTTCTTTATGTCTTTGTTCAAGTTACAAATTCAAATTGCAGCCCAGCCAGCCATCTCCAGTCGCCAGTCGCATCGAAACTCATGAGATCTCTTGAGAGTCGGCATCCGTCGCTGCGAGGCCGTAACGGTCCGTAACGCCGGCGGCATCGGAAGCCTTCCATTTTGGCGGTCTGGGTCACTCCATTGGGTCGAGTTGGGAGAAGTCCCTACGCGTTGCCATCCCGATGGCCGGTTCGGCTTTGATGATGGCCGGTTGGTTGCCGGCCCGCCTGCGCCTCCTTCTTTTGCTCGAGGGAAGCATGAGTTGAGACGTGGTGCAAAGCGGGGAAAGCAGGTGAAAAGCTGCGTAGCAGTGCGACGACCTCTTCAGATTATCACTATATAAGTACCATTATTATCTATTATTGATCTCACCCACTGGACCACTACACATGGTCAAGACATGTCAAGACTATAGTTCCTTGCAAAGAAGCTGATATGACTGCTTGTTGATTCAATTGTTTGATTCCCATGAAGCTAGTCGCCTTCTTTTTCTGGGCCCTTTCCGGGTCGCAGCACCCCAAACCATTCAAGACGTATGATGTATTCATATGTATTCTATATAGACTTATTATATAAATTCCAAAGACAAACAACCAGCAAAGCTCAACCACACACACTTACACTAGCGTGCGAGCATCGCAAGTGGATCAGATCCACTCACATTAGGACACCAGAGTGCTTATGTACCCATTGTGTCCCATTGTTACAGTAGATCACCATAGATTCTTGGGTCGTATTCACGACATTGTTACTTCTTTTTCGGGAGAAACAACAAAACCCACGGTTATCTCCGGTTTGCAGTTCAGCCATCGCGCCATATCCTATTTGCTCCGAACCTTTTTTGCATTTCCATTTATACTTGGAGCCATTCCAAGAGAAGTCCCATTTCAGTTCATCCCAATGCACTTGAGATATCTTGAGATCGCTCAGCTCGCTCAGCTAGCTCGACCTATCCCCGACCTATCAGTCGTTGCAGCTGAAACTACTTCGGCTGCCATGGCGCTCAGCCTCGGCCACAGCCGTTTGGGCCTGGCGCTCCATGCCGTGGCAGCTTGGGCCAAGGATTTATGATATTTTTTTGCAATACTCTGCAGCCTCCATCTCGATTCATCCTCTCACTTGTAACATCTCCACCATAAGGGAAAGTCATGTTAGTCATCATTGGTCAAAAAGGGCGTCCGACACCCGTTCGACACCCGCCCGCAGGTGCTTTGTGCGGCCGACGTGGCGCCGGTCACGGTGGCCCCCGCGGCCGTGCTCGACGAGATGCTGGGCGCCGCGCCCACCACGGTGGACCCCGACGCGCCGCCGCCGCCGCTGCCGCCCGGGCTCTTCCCGCCCACGGTGGCACCGCCGGCGGCGCGGCGGAGACCGGGGGGGAGGGCAGTAGGATGCAGAACTGTTAGAAATGCAGGTGGGAAAATGGGGAAGAAGAACTTGAACAAGAGTGTGGGGAGAGATGTTCAAGAGAGATGTTTGGATGGTACAGGATGGATTGCCAAGGTGTGACTTGCATCACATGGATTCAGGCAGCTGTTGAGTTGGGTGATCCTTGACCCAGGAGGACGGAAGAACTGGGGCTTCTGGAAGAATCAGACTGAAGTTGATTACCATCAGTGGGAAGCTAGAGGGACGAAGGATGAATTCAACTGTGAAGCTTGGATGGGAAGCCTTGCTTAAGTGGTTCAAGAGTGGAAACTATTTGGCATAAAGCACTCTGAAAGTAGTGGTGACGTTTGTTCTTGCCTTGCCAGGAAGTTGCACACTCTGGCACCCTCAAACGAGTGCTTGTTTTTTTTTGCAGTTCAGAAACCGAAAGAAAGCCAGCAACTGTCGAACTTGGAATGGTACCATTTACTCAATTTACTCCTGCGTATTCTACCGTATATGAATTATGGTTGGTGCATGTTGGCGCCTAGCCAAGCCTCAGAAAACTGCTGCTGGGATGTGGGAACGTATGTTGTTTATCAGTCCAAAGAAAGCCTGAAAGATCTCGTTCAAGGTTGGCAGATTCATATCATGCACTCAATATTCACAATGCCCTGAACACTGAACACAGACCACACATGACCCCCCCCACCAGCACTTTCCCTTTTTCGTTCCACTTGGGTCGCTTTCCTCTCCTTCCCTCACCCCCTCGACCGCTGCCGCCACTGGCCTCGACCGCTGCCTGGCCACGCCGCTTTGAGGCCATCGTGCCGAACGCGCCGGCCTGCGCGTCGGATCTGACGAGTCTGATCTTCACTGCCGCTCGGGCCGACGGATCTGACCCCCAAGGATCGAAGACCCCACACGATCGAGGGAAGGTGCGTTCTTCTTCGTTTGCTGCTTGGGACAAGTTTGCTGTCCACCTCTAAACCACTTGATCAAGTGCGGGCCCTTAATGTGAAATCCAGAAGAATCCTAGAACATTTTGATTTGAATTGGAAATGAAAGGACAGGACATTAAAGGAAAATGAAAGGAAAGGACAGGAAATTGAAAGGATAATGAAAGGAGTTCTGTGTTGATCCCAAAAAACGTTCCGAATAAATAAAGTGTATATAGTATCCATCTAACTCTATCGTGGGCTTGGGGTGTCACAGGTCTTAAACAAAGGATAGGTCGTTTGTTCGACGGATGCTTGATCCGAATGGGATTCATGTCTACTACCAGCGTCGACTTAGGGACAAGATGCTTCAAGCAACCAGCAGATTGTCGGCTGTTTTCTTATTTGTAAGATTCTAGCTGTAGACTTTGAGCACTGACAAGTGTCAGAGGGCACAAATCGCATCCACAAAGACCAACGCATGGGCGAGGTGACTGTCATCGCCAAGTACATCATTTGGTCCACCCAGTACTGCTCACAGCCCAATGTCGCTTGACATGGCGTTTGCTGTCCGCTGATTTGGAGGTCGATCGTGAAAGTGTCAATGATCTCACCAACCCTTCAAAAAAACATAGTAGTGGGTCAAGATCCCTTGCAAAGTTGCTGAAATCCTCTACCAAGTGGTTTGCTCTTCCATGATTCCATGGTGTGTTTGAAGGAGTGCAAGTCCCAAGAGTGTCAAGCATTTGTCAATGCAGGGACGTATGTCTCACCAGTGACGAACGTATGTCTCATGCATTCCAACATCGACAATGAAATTCGCGGTATCGGTTGGTATTGGGGAATCGGGGGGGTCACATGTTTGGTTTGAGGTGTTGACAGACTTCTTCAACGAACGACGCTTCTGCTGACTTCTTCACGACGCTTCTGCTTGCTGCTCTTCAAAGCACGCTTGTGACATGCATGAACTTTGCCTCACCATGCCTCACATGCTTTTGCTTTTCTGAATCGACACTGTGCAATGCGGATGCACTGACTCTACCTCGACGTTTGGCTGGTTCAGCATCATCGAATGGTTTCATATGAGCGTCGTTCAAAAACCCACCTCTTCCTTGTTAGTGATCGAATTTCAAAGGCTGATTTCGAGTGTGCTCTCACTGCAGTCGCGAAAGGTTCGCGAAGGTCCTGCGAAAGGTCTGCGCAAGTCATGTTGGTGACCTGGCCACGCTGCAAGAACAATTGCTCTTCAGACTTCCGATTGCTTTTTCCCGGGTTGGGAAAAAGCAAATTGGAAATCTGAAACAATTTTGCTTTTTCCCGGGCCGGGAAAAAGCAAATTGGAAGTCTGAGCCTTTTGCTTTTTCCAGGCCTGGGAAAAAGCAAATTGGAAGTCTGAACCATTTTGCTTTTTCCCGGCCCTGGAAAAAGCAAATTGGAAGTCTGAGCAAACTGGCCTGACTGAGCCGTCTCTTGTTCATGGAGGGTTGGGCAATCAAAATGGCTTGGTTGGAAGTCTTGACCATTTTGCTTTTTCCCAGCCCGGGAAAAAGCAAATTGAAAGTCTAGATCATTTTGCTTTTTCCCGGCCCGGGAAAAAGCAAACTGGAAGTCTGAGCAAACTGGCCTGACTGAGCCGTCTCTTGTTCATGGAGGGTTGCGCCCAACCAAAAACACACCAGCATGAAAATGGCTTGGTTGGAAGTCTTGACCATTTTGCTTTTTCCCAGCCCGGGCAAAAGCAAATTGAAAGTCTAGACTCTAGACCATTTTGCTTTTTCCCGGCCCGGGAAAAAGCAAATTGGAAGGAGCAAACTGGCCTGGCTGAGCCGTCTCTTTGTTCATGGAGGGTTGGGCGCAACCAAAGCCGGAAGTCTTGATCATTTTGCTTTTTCCCAGCCCGGAAAAAAGCAAATTGAAAGTGTAGGCCGGGAAAAAGCAAATTCAAAGTCTGAGTCAAATTGGGAAAAATCAGTTCATATCAGGGTTACAGGGAAAATCAAGGAGCTGTGACCTAATGGATAAGGCGCCAGGCTCATAAGCAGAACCTTGCGGGCTCAAATCCCACAGGCTCTGCTTGTTTCCAGGCCGGATTCCAAACTGCAAGCCTGATACATTTTGCTTTTTCCCGGGCCGGGAAGAAGCAAATTGGAAGTCTGGACCATTTTGCTTTTTTCCCGGCCCGGGAAAAAGCAAAATGGAAGTCTGAACCATTTTGCTTTTTCCCGGCTTGGAAAAAAGCAAACTCGAAGTCTGAACCATTTTGCTTTTTCCCGGGCCGGGAAAAAGCAAATTGGAAGTCTGGCCGTTTTGGAAGTCTGAACCATTTTGCTTTTTCTCGGGTTGGGAATAAGCAAATTGGAAGTCTGAGCAATTTTGTTTTTTCCGGGCCGGGAAAAAGCAAATTGGAAGTCTGAGCCATTTTGCTTTTTCCAGGCCCGGGAAAAAGCAAATTGGAAGTCTGAGCCATTTTGCTTTTTCCCGGCCCGGAAAAAAGCAAATT